TTAATCTGACGCTGTAATGCCTACCTAACGAGGGACGAGGTACCAGTAGTTAATCTGACGCTGTAATGCCTACCTAACGAAGGACGGGTACCAGTAGTTAATCTGACGCTGTAATGCCTACCTAACGAAGGACGGGGTACCAGTAATTAATCTGACGCTGTAATGCCTACCTAACGAGGGACGGGGTACCAGTAGTTAATCTGACGCTGTAATGCCTACCTAACGAGGGACGAGGTACCAGTAGTTAATCTGACGCTGTAATGCCTACCTAACGAGGGACGGGGTACCAGATGTTGAAGTAATGAATTTCTACAGGAAGTTTTTTCTGTAAGGAATAATTTAGTCTTGATGGTAATTCTGAAGGCTTTCGATTTAAGAATTCCAAGTCCGTCCCCATTTGGTTAAATGTGCAATTCTCTTGTCGCTGTCATGATGAGGAAATGAGTTGAATTGTCAATCAAACAAGCCTTTTTTAAGTGAACTTGTCATTGATGTGATAGATAAAGAATTTTAATCTATGGGAGAGCCATATAGCACTCCGGGGTCGATAATTAAGGTCAACGAAATTTTTCAACGGGTACATTTAGCAGAACTACAATTAAAAGGCTGAAGTTTGTTTAGGAGTCTTGTGTTAGGAAGTTTTGCCAAAATATGTTTTAAAGTGAAGTTTGGTATTATTTGTGTTCAAGTATGAACTCATTTTTTTATTCTGTGGGATTTGTTATTTAAATGGCCAATTATGCACTTCAGCTAAAATGTTACAATGCCCGATGTAAAGGCTGTAGTGGTTCCAAACATCGTGAATCGGAACGAAAAAAATTGTCCTCGTTTATTACAATTCAAAAAAACTTTTGATCACCAAAATACAGGAAAGGTCCATATATCGGACACTGCTCACGGTAAACAGCGTTCTACTTAACATACTGGTGTGTTTAAAATTGACAATATAGTGAAGAAAGCGGGACCATGTTTGTGATTGACTTCCCAAGGTCAAGGTTTTTTTGTTCCCGATATGTCACGTGATTAATACATGACAGCCGCTGAGAATAAGGTCGTGACATTGTTTTGTGTTCTTCTGTGTAATCGTATCAAGATATCTGAAAAGAGTGTTGGAAATGGGCGTCTAATTTATCATTTTATCATTGTCGAAAACTGTCACGTGACCATCATTAGGCTGTATATTGTTAACTAAAGCCTTACGGTGACACAACAGAAAGTTTTACAAAATGTGTTTTTTGTGTTTCTGAAACTCGGTTATGTTGATAATTGAACTCCATTGTCAATATTTGAGGTAGACTAGAATGAATTAATGTTACCGTCTTCTATCAAATGAAGGTGACTATGGCAATCTTTTTTCATTGTAGCATACGTACAAAAGTCAATGTTATATGTTACATCTTAACTGTTTTGATCCTTTTCCGAATTGTTCAGCCCAAAGGATATAAAAAATATGTTGAATTCGAATTAATGTACGTAAGGTTCCATCTTCCATGGGTATGGAAAGGTTTATCTTGTCAGGTAGGATTACTAAGGATATCTTTGTTTATAGTAAAGAACATGTTAGGCTAATGTCAGTAACTGTCTATAAGTTCTTACTTAAGGAATATGAACTTGGATCCTGTGTTAAAACATAACTTTACACGATCCAGAGTTTGTGTTAATTATCTGGGGATCATTAAATTTGTCACACACAGTTTATCAACCTATATAATCGACTAAATCAAGATTCAGTGCTTTAATAGAAAACTATGGACGTGTTCTGAGTATATACATGTACATTACTAAATAGAAGATTACAAGTATTATGTCACAAAAAGTGATTTCGTTTTTTATCTATTTCTGCAATGTACACTCGAACAGGCATGGGTTTGTCGCAAAATAATTTCTGAAATACGATTCAAAATTATATGTTCCTTGTCTTAAATGCCTCGTTGCCAGAAGAGTCTGAAATCGGACGACAAACAAAAGGTCATGTGACTCTGTGGTCCGTTACCAGAACAGTCCTTAAAATAGGACACTATATCAAAGGTCATGTGACTCTGTGGTTCGTTACCAGAACAGTCCTTAAAACAGGACACTATACCAAAGGTCATGTGATTCTATGACACACTACCAGAACAGTCCTTAAAATAGGACACTATATCAAAGGTCATGTGACTCTGTGGTCCGTTACCAGACCAGTCCTTAAATAGGACACTATACCAAAGGTCATGTGACGCTGTGATTCGTTCCCAGAACTGTCTTTAAAATAGGACACTATACCAAACGCCATGTGACTCTGTGACCCATTACCAGAACAGTCCTTAAAATAGGACACTATACCAAAGGTCATGTGACTCTGTGGTCCGTTACCAGAAAAGTCCATAAAATAGGACTCCAAAAGGCCATGTATCCCTGTGACTCGTTACCCCGAGAGAGCAGTCTACAGTTTTGGTCCCACGTGTATTTTGTCCTCCTGATTGGAACCAGTTCTACATGTCACGTGGCCAAATGACTCATTACCGTTGTAGTCCTTCGAAATGACGCTGGTGCCCCTGTCTGAAAAAGATGTGATGTTGAACAAATTGTCCGTGTAGCTATACATGTATTTATAGTTACTAAATGCATGCACACACATATATATACTATGTGTCTTATCTTTTTGTCGTGTTCAACTTTGTATTTATTAGTTAAACGACAACTTTTTTAAACGTTTAAGTAAACTGGAGTATTTCAAAACCCACGTGTAGAGATAAATTATACTGATACTTGTATACCTGAGCCAGGTGACATCAAAGGCGCCGACCGATTACAGGTAGAGACATTTTTCAAGTGCATGGCGACCTAAAATACATACACCTGAAGGGTTTTGGTGGCCAGTCTTACAAAGTATGTTTACATATATTCACTTTATCGGAATTTTAGACAGAAGAAATCCGTCTTTTGTGTGATATGGCTTTATTTAAAAAGCCATTTCATTTTTTAATGTTTGGGTACCGAAGCACATGGGTCATAGATACATTTTACCTGTCAATCAATATTTAGGTCTATCGCTAATCGTAAGTGGATCTCGACTCAGAAAATGACTCCATATACTGGAAATTTGGTATTATTATTAAATACATAAACAGCATCATTACCTCTGAGAAAAATAATCATAACATATCAAAAAGTAAGATAGCGAGCAAATATTCGTCAAGATATTATTTTCAAATAAATAGAAATTCTGCCAATTTTATTATCTGTACGAGAAACTCATTCAAACTAAACATTTGGCAACAACTTTTAAGGATCCCACTTCGCTTAACAAATACTTAATGTTAATAAAACATAGAATTAGTGCGAAGGACGGATTTCTTTGCCTGAGAGAGTCACGGGCATCACAATCGGACAATAACTTAAAACAAAATGTTTGATAAAGATCCTTACTGGTGTAGGACTTTTTAGACTGTTTTTAATTCTTTATTTTCCATGACATCATCATTTAGTCACATTCATCTTGATTTTTTCGATGTAGAATACATTTCGAGACATACACGAATAAAGAATCCAGCTGTTGAGATACCTATAGGCTACACCAGTTATATGGTATACAAATAAAATATTTCAATATGTCGAAAACACACTTACAGACAGATCGACAAGTTTTAAGACAAGCTCGATAACATTCCTGTCCGATTGTTTGAAAGAAACAACTTTCTAGGATATCGCATGATGATGTGTAATTACGTTTGTAAATAAAGAACAGTGAACTTACATACATATAAACGTAATTCAAACTCGAATGTTATAGGCAAGGAGAAAATGACAAAACATATTCAAAATCCGTGAAACAGTCAACGGAAGTAAAATCCCTTTTCTGTCAAGTATGAACTTAACTACGCCATTGGCGACAACTACAAAACCTCGTTCACATCCAAGAATATCGCACCCTCAAAGTGATTACCGGGATTGCACCGACGACACAATTCGGCAAAAACTAAATATTACAATTGGGGATCTGAGATGATAATCATCATCAGCCTACGTTCTTCTTATTTCTGTATTAGAAGTTTTAGAGTTCGGCATCCATCTTGAAACACCGACCGGAAGTGTGACCATCATCAACGATGGTTGCTTAATTTCAGAGCACCGGCGTTAATACTTTCATATTAAGAATTTTGTTTTACTTTTATTTGTTTCATTTAATAATTTTTTGATTTGATACTTTTAAAAATTTCTTTTCAACATAACTTTCGTGACATAATCGCTTTAAAACTTCTCTATCACCAAAACTGCAGTAGTCTTAATATGGATATAAATACTAAATATTTCTCATGTCATGTGACAGGCGTGGATGTACTAACGACATGTCAAAGGTTACATACACTGTATATGTGCCCAAATTCGAGGTCAAGGGTCAAACCTCGAAGCAGTGCACACCTGCGATGTGACATTGACTGTACATTACTAATTAGGTTACGGCTGTGTCATCAAGTACATGTACATAGCCCGCTAATATCAGATAGTTAATTATCAAACGTATATATAACCTGAACCATTTTAAGTATAAACAGATATTTGCCCGATATTTTACATGTCAAATTATTTAAATATACGTTTTGATATATGTGTCTGATTCAAACTTTCCCAGTACCTACTTAATGTGTATTTCATTTATTTTCAAGACTTGAAAATATCCACCGAATATTCCATATAAAGTGTCTTTTGAATATCGATGCCTTCACATGATCTAATGCGTATCTCCATCTTATCTCTCGGTGAACTAAGTTGAAATCTGCCTTTGACCTGTTGGAGAGACCTGATTTGTGACATCCAAAATTAATTCATCGGTATCATGACACACTGTTTCTGTTATCTGTTGTTCAAGGAATACGCTATCGCATGGTTTGGAATACATTTTCAGAAATGTGGAACCAAACAAATTAATAATACTGAGTTCACTAAATGTAGCACTGCATAAAACGATACCAGCTCAAATTCAAACCCATGTTTCTCATTCCCGCTCTATTTATTTCCAGAGCGGAGTGATAAGAACAGCAGAAGAGGATTTCATATTGGAACCAATCAAGCGGCACAGAGTACGCGGGAAACAAGGTCAAGGTCGTCCACATAAAATCACACGACGTTCATCGAGACAAGACAAAAATCAGTACTGCGGTAAACAGACGCGAGGTTCGTAAACAATACATATGATGTCATAAACTGTGACGTGTTAAGAAGAGCAAATAGACGAAAATTCACAATCAATTATTCATCATCAATGTATATGATTAATGTTTGATGCCAAAACGTCTTTTTTCCTGAATCACATTGCAATCTTTTTGCGTCAAAGTATTGAAAATTGGCACTTAACATTTTTTCTTTGTGATGTTGGTGAACTATTCTCTTAAATGTTTTTTCTATTCAGAAAGAAAGGCTACTTTTGACATGCGGACAGGCGTTGTTAAAGAGATTCAGCAACATGATATTAGAAAGAGATCATCACCTTTCAATTTCCGCTTCCGGTCACCGCATCTGGTACCGGAAGAAAGGACGGTGGAGACTTTGGTCGTGGTTGATAAAACCATGTATTATAAGCATGGGGATGAAAACATTACAACATACACTCTCACACTGTTTAATATGGTAGGTGACCCTGTTTAAACGTACTTTTCTTTTCACATTTATTCAAATATTAAAGACAAAGCTAGTTAAGGGTTTTTCGTCTTAAAATGTTATAACTTCCCATAATTATTTTATTAACAGGCTACAGCTATTGCACAGACGTATATATATCAGCAAAGTTAAAATACACTTCTTACATAATAGATAGTCTTACTCTTTTTGCACTCATTTGTTACCCAACATACACAGACTTTTACTAACATCGGTCTCAAAATAGTTTCCTATTATTATAACTGTTTTGGCTTTGGTGGAATATTAACCTCGATCCGATATACTTTCAATGTAGGTAGCTGATTTGTATAAAGATTCAAGTCTGGGAAACAAACTGGATATTGTTTTGGTCGGTCTCATTCTGCTGGAGGGAGATGAGGTTTGTATACAGACATATATAGAGGAAGTTGGGTTGAATTTATTTTCCGTTTTTTTTATTTCTTGATCTTTATCTTATAAGTATACATAATTATTTGTAATGGTACTTTATTAGGAAATGCACAAACACAATGATAAATATAAAATATAGATAATAACATATGAAGAATAAATAACCTTAAAAGAATCGTTCATCATGAAAATGGTTTCCAACCTCAGAAATTTCCTTTCGAACTTCACAGAAAGGTCTTGAGATTGGTTACCATGCCGACAAGACGCTGAACAGCTTCTGCTCCTGGCAGTCAGTGTTGGTGGGACCAAAGGGGAGACAACACGATCACGCTATTCTTCTCACGGGCATGGATCTGTGCTCCTACAAAAACGCTCCGTGTGATACTCTTGGTAACTAATTAACGCACTGTAAACTGATCCTCAGATTATATGCATAATATGTTTTTTATTTTGTGAATATCGTAAATGTAATCCATCGCTTTTAACACAAATTTTTCTCCGATAACAAAATATAACAATTATCCTACATTGTATATGTAATCGTTATATTGATTGTAATGTCATGCATCTATAATAAACAAACAAACAAACAAACAAACAAACAAACAAACAAACAAACAAGCAAGCAAACAAACAAACAAACAAACAAACAAACAAACAAACAAACAAACAAAAGCACTGTATTTCGCACAAAAACAAAACTAGAAAAAATAGCATGTATATATATCTGAACATGGTACATCCGTATGTGTGTGAATTTCAGGCTTTTTAGCTTTATCCAACAAAATACTTCCCACTTGTGTCTTCGGTATTTATTGGAAAGGAGTCCTTGTTTATATATATTGCAGTTGGAATATCAATAATTGCTGGGTTTGATTCTAAGATTTGATAAGGAATTTGATATATACGAGATCGTTATGTTCTGTTTTGACAAGACTGCCAGATCAAACTGTAGGAAAAATAAGAGATTTTCCTTGAAACATTTGGATATTTTCTGGATAAAAAAAATACGGTAAAAAGAAAACAACGTTTTTCTCTTATGCAGGTTTTGCCCCTATAGAAGGTATGTGTAATCGGATAAGGAGCTGCACCATTAATGAAGACACCGGACTCTCCACCGCTTTTACAATCGCCCACGAAATGGGACACAAGTAAGTCTCTAATGTTGTCATCCTCAGAACTCCATGGAAAGCAATCACTTTCGTTCTCTGTAGAGAGCGAAAGAGACATTAACCTCTGGAGTATCGAGAATGATCCAAGTCAGGGTAGGGATGGGGTGGGGCTATTGTAAAATACCAGTTAGTTACAGACTTATAAAGAGTTAATTTCTGCTAAGTGACATCACTAATGCATGTTGCTTCATTTGCAGTTTTGGAATGTTTCACGACGGCGAAGGTAATTACTGTACCCAATCTGCCGGAACTATCATGTCACCGACCCTGATGGGCAAGGATGGTCTGTTCCACTGGTCAATCTGTAGTAAAGCCTACTTAATGCGTTTTCTCAAGTGAGTAGTCATTTCAGAATCCCTGCATTCAGTCTTATATTTTCGACATTTTATATCTTTCTTATCTCATTTAGCAAAAAATCCTAAACGAAAAGATGTATTTTCTTTATATTCTTCTCTGAAAACTCTTCTTCGTATTGTTTTTATCTGCGGTCTACTTCCATTCGAGTGTCCCATTGGCTATAAATAAGTTGTGCGTGATTGGCTGACGGAAAGAGAGTGCTTTTACATTTAAAGTAGACTTTATAATTGGTACTGATATGTATTTATGGATATATCTTTTAAACATAACCTATATTTTATTTTGAAGTCAAAACAACATCCGTTATGATATAATTAATCATGATAAAAGATGTATACCGCAATGTCAAATTATACTTGACACTTTTGAGATCCTTTGATGAGAAACTGGAAAATAAATCGCTCGCGGAAGGTAAGCGATTTGCAGTAAATAGTGTGTCACTTATTTGATTCTATCCTTCAGTACTCCACAGGCAAAATGTCTCTCTAACAAACCAAAACATGTAGCCGAACTGACCTTTCCGGACAAACTGCCAGGAGAACTCTACAATGCTGATGTCCAGTGTAAGTGGCAGTTCGGACATCGCGCCAAACTCTGTACCTATGACTTCGGAAAGGTAAGTAGTTTTGACTGATAGTAAATTATGTATGGTTTAAACTAGAAATTCTATTTAAAATCTTGATACATTGAAATATAGGTATACTTTTTATTGTACAAGAAAAATTGAGTGATTGAGTTATAAAAATGTTTGAAAACAATTTTTGATTTATTTCGGACGTTGGAAAGGTCATCAGATGCATGAGAAATAAAAACATCAGCTGCTCAACACAGCTCAGTATAAGATATGATATTAACAAAGGCATGATATAATTTTTTTTGTTTTGATATTTCAATCAATAACGAAAACATTCAACGTTAACAGTTAATATCAGACTAAGTTATATAACTGTGAGATACAACATGTTCCTAATCACCAAAAAATTTACATTAACTTATAAAAAAAACATTTTGATGACTCGCAATGTTGCCTTCCATTTATCATAAAAATACTGGTTAAATTAGCCATGAGAATGAAACTACGTGAAGTTAATACTTTGAGAGGTCCGATACTATTTTACGTGTGTTTTGTGGATCAGGAGTCTTCTGTACGTCCACAGGACATCTGTAAATCCCTGTGGTGTTACCGTGGAAAGAAACGATGTGAAACCAAGTTCCTCCCGGCAGCTGAAGGCACCTCATGTGGTTCTGGTATGGTAGGTAGGCATAAACATATCTATCATAACTACTGTAGTCATCTTCATCTTTTTTCGAACAGAAATTGTCTTCATATCAGATTTCAAGTTTGTCTTTTTGTTTGTACGAAAAACTGTATGAGGATATTCACAATAAAGTGATAAATATTTTCTTCTGTACATAATACTCAATTGCGTACAAGATGTAAGTCGTTTGGGAGGCATTCTCTTCTCCACAGCTATTTGAATCTTAAACATTTGGCCCCTTTGACATGAAGAATCTTTCAAAATGTGATATATGAAAAAGGAATCAGTTAAAAAAAATCAGAATAAAGCTGCTTTTTAACAATATACTTATGTATAACATGCTATCCCGCATGTTAAGGTTATCGAAACCATTACAGTAGAAAACGTTTTGATAGCCTTACTTTCTCATCAACGCACAGATCTACGTGTAGCAAGTTTATTGGCGTTTTGGTTTGTTTGGCCAAGAAGATATTTTTCTGGAACCTTAGATTTACAGATAAATGGATAATTAATCTTTCCCTTGACCATCTTTATCAGGAAATAAGGCATCTTGTTAGTTTTATTATTAACGCATAACTTTTATTATTACCACATCAGTGGTGTCGACAGGGTGAGTGCGTCAAGTTTGGTCAGGATGGTCCGGAGCCTATTGACGGCCAGTGGTCAGCTTGGGCGGAGTGGTCAGATTGTTCCCGATCTTGTGGAGGCGGAGTGACTGTAAGAGAAAGGGAATGTAACCGACCACTGTAAGTTTATCCTCCGATCTCGAAGTCTCACGTGATCTCGTCTACTGCAGTAAGATTAGTAGTATATAAAACGTTTACATCCAAGACAGGCAGAGATGTTTCTCAAAGTACTCCTGTTATCATGTACACTACTGCAATTGACGAATCAAGAACCAGTAAACAAAACATCCGATATAGCATAGACAAAGACATCTTCTTTCTAAACTTCAATTTACAACATAATTTTGTATTTTGATTTTAGTCCACAATACGGTGGTCGGCCATGCCCAGGACAAGACCAAGTGTTCAAGATGTGTCGGATGGAAGTAAGTGACTGTCATACTGCCGACTATCTGTAGACGTCTCTTTATGAGCTGTCAGATATCATTAATATATTGAATTTGTTGAAATCGGACAATTTACATTAAAAATATCTTTGGCTGACTAATTGATTATTTAATGTAACAAATAACGCTTTATCACATGTAGGTCATGCAAGTCTGAAAAACAATGACATAATAATAATAATAATAAAAAAAAACGAAAATTATAAACAAAAAAATCTAAAAAGAGGAGCAATGACAAAACTATAGAAAATTACAACCACTGTCGCCGAAAAGACACGACGGGTTTTGTCGCTAATTATACAAATTACTATAGTAGTACTTTACAATGAATAGGATTTTTATTCGCAGTCATTTAGCTGTTGGATACTTTCGTAATGTGACGGAATTATAGGGATGTAAATATGTATACTTTCAAAACGATATCTACCATGTTGCAAACAGATTGTATACCCTTACCGGGTACCTTAGTAATTTGACAAAATCTCTCATCTATCACTGGCCCCTTCGACTCGATAAGCGCTAAAGGGACGTAACCAAGGTATCCCGTAGATATAATAGCTGCATATGGTTAGCTTAATAATGAGGTAGGACCAGGTGTTCAGGAGGGTAAGCGTCTTATGCGTTATTGACAACACCTCGATTTTAGATTATTGTAAAGTAATGAAATAAGATGGAAGTGAGAAAATCCAAATTATTGAAACGATGTTTCAGGAATGCCCGGATGGTGATGATGACTTCTATGCGGTTCAGTGTACCTCTTACGACAAAAAGCCTTTCAGAGGATGGTACCTAAAATGGAAGCCCCATAAGAAACTTCAAAACGGTAAGAACAAACATATTTTGTGTATGTCAGATAATTGTTTCCTAATTGTTCCTTGTCAAATCACAGTTTACACCCACAATTTATACATCCAATGGTAAATAGTGAAACAATTTAAAATATTCATTTCCATAAATGTACGCAAACATAAGCAAGCATTTTTTGCAACAAATCCTGTAAAGTTTTGAAACCGTTTTAGCATTTTAGATTGATAGCCTAATACAAATCATTTTTCGTTATTAAGTAAATAAGTAAAAGAATAACCTACATCATATTAGTGCATGTGTTAGAGAATGCATGGTTGTTGAATGCCATGCATTCTATAGTGGCGAAATTATGGTTGCTGAATGCCATGCATTCTATAGTGGCGAAATTATGAGAATAAGTTTTTAACAACTGTTGCCATGTTGAAAGGTTTATCACGATTTCGAAATAATATTTACACTACAATTTTCGCATGAATAGTTACCCTAATACATCTTTAGAAATTAAACACAATATACTTGATCGAAATTATCAATTCTTTCATTACAATTTATAGTTCGATAGAGTTATCTCTCGTCGTATTGAAGTAGACTTTATTCTTACTTTGTGTCATAAATGGAATACAATTTTATACTCGAATCTTGTGTAAAATTGGGCTGCTTTTGATTCAGCTCTTTTGAAAAGCACATTCAAATTAGATATGGAAATATTGCTTTCAAATAAAAAACACCCATTCTTAATTACCATAAAATTTTGTGATGTCTACATCTTATTCTTAATATACATATTGATCTATATTCAATTTACGCATATATTTAAGCATCTTCGAAGTGTCAACGCCTAACTATCTGTATCTCGGTTAAATCATGATTCCAAACTAACTTCTGTAAGTCACGTAGATTTTGCAAATATTTTAATTCGCGAACTAACCTTTTCTGACATAATCGCGAACGGTGGTTTCGAAATGACCTTAAATTAGCGAATGATGGTCTATTAGATATATGGACTTCGAACCGAACTTGTTTACCGAATCAGTATGTATGTCATCAAGAATTGTTTCATTACAAATAATCGCGTAGGATTTGAATTCGCGATTGACTCTCCTGAACGCGAAAATGAATCCAACGCGAAAAATTAGTGGTTCATAGTAATGAGTTCTGTGTATTTTCCAGTTCGTGAGCCTTGTAAGCTGCACTGCATTGCTGAAACATTCAACTATGTTTTTACCATCACACATACTGCGGTCAACGGAATGCGATGTCAGGGTGATAACAATATCTGTGTGGAGGGCACCTGTAAGGTAACAACAATTACATATACAAAATGGCAGTACAAAGAAAAAGTAGAAATAATCACTCAAAAAGCAAATTACTACCAGTATATGTATTTCAACGCCGTCCTTGCTGGTCGCTCAGCACTGAAGGGAAATCAGTATTATGTGACCCGATGTGTTGTAACACTTCAGTAGGTTTTCATGTCTGTGTTTTGATACTTTCCAGGTAATGACATCTCAGTGGGTTGTCATGTCCAGGTTATGACGCTGCGGTGGGTTGTCATGTCCAGGTTATGACGTTTCGGTGGGTTGTCATGTCCAGGTTATGACGCTTCGGTGGGTTGTCATGTCCAGGTTATGACGCTTCGGTGGGTTGTCATGTCCAGGTTATGACGCTTCGGTGGGTTGTCATGTCCAGGTTATGACGCTTCGATGGGTTGTCATGTCCAGGTTATGACGCTTCGGTAGGTTGTCATGTCCAGGTTATGACGCTTCGGTGGGTTGTCATGTCCAGGTTATGTTGCGTTACAGGGAAATAAAACCACAAACATAAAAAAATTAATGTTATTCAATAATAATCATACTTCGGTGACGTTTTCCTTGACAATGATAGTTGTCCTGTAATATATAGATATATTCAGACTGGTGTATGTATACGGAACACACTACATGATCAGATTTTTCCAGTCATGCTGAAGAGTGAATACTGCAGCGTGCTATAGGTCCAAACAAAAGTCACTACTACGGGCAATGTTTAATAATAAAAAATACCAGTAAATGGTCTTCTTTATCTACTCACTTAAACAAATTATTGTAATGAACAAGGATATTTACTTCTACATGTAAAAGGGAAAACTCCACTTTACATGCAAGGGTTAACACGTTGGCAGATACCACAACACCGGTTCTTAGCAATCAGGAATACCTAGTCACGAGTGGATCACGAGCTCATAACGCAACCTATATTACGGCAGCTTTTCTGACAGTCAGCAATATTCACAACTACTAGCATCCCGTTCCGGGTGGGAGCCATAGGGCGTGAAACACGCACAGAAGCTAGCAATTGTTATGCACCGCTGTTCGCAACACATATATATTTGATATCCAGCAAACCATACACTATATAGCATTTCATTTTAGGAATTACCAACACAGCTAACAAGAGAGCATAGCAGGTACATAAAACTCATGACTTAATTCAAAGAGAGCAACATTCCCACCGCTCCCCTCCTAGCTGCCAAGCTTATTGCTATACCAACTAGAGTGAAACGAATGGAAGTACACTGTAGTTGATAGATCCGATTGGGAACACAACTTTCTTGTTCGATTAGAAAACAGTTGTTTTTGTTGTATGTTTACACCGAATATGAGGAGTCTTTTATAGAAAAAATCTCACCAAAGCAATACAATAAATATCAAATAATAAAACTTCATAGCGGACAAACAGAAGAAAAACATACCATATCAAAGGTGTGTAAGTCACCATATCTAAGGTGTGTAAGTCACCATATCTAAGGTGTGTAAGTCACCATATCTAAGGTGTGAAAGTCACAATAATTTTGTAATCGGGGTTCAAAAAATAAATCTCAATGTACATGTGCATTATAAAAACAAAATTATTAGCATTGTAAATGACTACTCACAAGGACATATCAACGTTTTCAGCCAATCGGATGTGATTTAATATTGGGATCCAATTCGTCTAATGATGCATGTGGCGTCTGCAAGGGAGATAACTCTACCTGCAGAAGAATGACCGGAGAATATTTGGAGCAGCCCAAAATGAACAGTATGTTGATCGATATATCGAACCTATCAATTCATCCAAAGTTAAACTGTTTGTTCGACTCTTTGGAACAAAATCTAACTGATACTTAAAAACATCCGCGGCGATGCTTGGATAAGTTAGTATCGACATTTCCCGACAAAAACACGTTTTACTTCAAAGCTTTGAAACATGTATTTGGCAAAACAGATGTTCTAGCCTAAAAGTCAGTGCATACATCGTAAGGACAGGGCCGATCTTTACTTATAATCAATGCTTTTTTATTTTGTAGCGTACTTTCCGGTCGCCATTCTTCCAATGAATTCTCGATCAATACGCATCTTTGAAAAATCCTTAACTTCCAATTACATAGCGATACGCGATATATTTGGGAAGTATTACCTAAATGGACAGCGTCGGGTAGCATGGCCAGGAGAATATACATTCGGAGGAGCTAGGTTTTATTATCGGCGTGCGTACGACGAGCCTGAAATTCTCGAGAGCGCTGGACCGCTGACCGAGGATCTTGTGATAGAGGTCAGTGAAAGCTTACTCTCGCTTTGTTTGTTGCTAAACATTCATGTACGAATAGCAACATTCTACGTAATATTTTGTTTATTTTGAAATCTATGCTTGTTTCATATTAGATCGTATATATGTCTAAAATTGTTTCTGATCTGTATGTTCATGAAAATTCACGTTGTGAGTTAAAAATGTAGCACTCATACAAGAATTAGCAAAAGCCAAACCTTTGGTTTTTTTATTTATTGAAAAAGGAAACAAATCGAGTTAAACATTCATCTGAGTTTCAATCAATTAGTAGAATAGAATACCAATTTCATGTAATAAAACATTTGCTTGAAATTGAAGATGAATATAAATGAATAATTGAGACACGACATAACTATTTTATTCATTAAATAGACAAGAATTGATTAGCATATATTCAGTATGATTATCGAATGCAAAACGGGCGACATTTGGTTTAAAAATTAATTCAATGTTACATTCAAGAACTAAGAACAGATCTATTGAAGTTTACATCCACTGCTAAACATTAGTAGCCAAGCAACGTGAAAATAATTAATTTGAAAAAGGTAACGCGATAAACATTGAGTTTGTTATAACATTACAGATTCTTGTCCAAGACCAAAACGCAGGGATTGTGTACGAGTATTATATGCCTCGTCCCCCTAACGACACGAGGGTCGTGACGAAAACGCCAAAGGTCTTTACTTGGAGTATATCGGTATCCTCATGTAGCGAGCCATGCGCAGGGGGTAAGTACCGAAAGGAATTTCTGAGAAATAGAAGTAAACTAACTAAGATGAGGTAATAACATTTATTACATACACTTTAACCTAGGGTGAAGCATGTTTCTAGGAAAAAGTAGTACTTGTTTGTATATATATATATATATATATATACAATGCTGAGATAGGTTTTTGTTCTAAAATAATGTTGGAGTAAAGCATTGGTTAAAAAAGCTGCTCTGTGAAAGTAAACTTTTCAAATATTGTTCACCAAACTTAAATAAGATAACTAACGACAATTAAAAAAGTTGTCATTTTTAAAATTGTATATTTATATTAAGTGCAAAGTATGCTTTACTGTTGAAAGTAAGGGGTAAGAATCCTTAAAGTTCTTAATTGAGCGGGTTGTATAATTGTTAACCAATTCTTCACATTTAGGGACGAAGACTGTCACTGCTCTTTGTCATAGAAACTTGTATCAAGAAGTGAACTCGACCGAATGCGACCAGAGTGAGAAACCAGAAACTGGCGTGTTTCCCTGTAACGAGGTGGCTTGTCCCCCGAGGTAGGTTCTTCATTGTACATGAGATGAGACGTGACATGCATGCACGTTTCACATACTGTCAAAATTATTGTCTGCTTTAGCGTATATGGGAAAAAAAGACAAACATCAGTTGAAGAAATGTGATGAACAGAACTGGCTCTGGCCTCGAAATGACGTCAACCTAAACAGCTCCGGTAAACAAAAATGTAAAAGGTAATTCAGCGAGGTCCTGAGGTCCATAATTCAAATGGCGGGTTTTTAGACGCCTCCTTATACCACAGTGCGATAAAATGCCACATTATTGACAATTTGTAGCTATATTTTGGCCTTCATATTGAACAGTGAGTACTCATGCCTGGCCCGTGCATTCTGTGGCAGCCATTGTATATGTATCCCGATGATAACATGTAGGTGTCCATATTTACCTACAGTTATCTACGCTGAACTGTTTTAGTAATATTGAAACTGCCAATTCATATGTACTTTTAGCACACATGTCTGTATCGTCTTTTCAAGGAGAAAAACGTAATCGAGTTAGTTCATCCTCCTCCTCCTCGACCGGCTCACTCACCCCCCGGGATCCTAAGAGACACAAACTAACTGAACTTTCTGAGGTGTTCACTCTACGAGATACAATGAGTCTTACTCCTGGCCAACCTGGGTTTCAGCCCCAGCCTCAGTATACCACTCCACCTAGTCATCCCTACCCCCCGGGCTACATCCCACCCAGTTCATTTCCTGGGTCGTATCCAATGGGCAGTGCTAGTCCATCGTCGCTGTCGGATAATGATATTGACAGGATTGTAGTGGCTCTAAAGTCTTCTCTTAAGGCGGACATAGCTAACTTAGTTACACAGGAGGTCAACGCCCGTGTATCCCCCCTCATCCAACGTATTGATATGCTCGAACAGGAGAACCGTGATTTACGTCTTCATATAGACGACGTCGAGCAATATGGACGTCGAGCCCTGGTTCGATTCTCTGGATTCAAGGAATCACCCGAAGAGGATACTACAGCCGTTGTCTTGAATGCTGCTACTGCTGCAGGTATTGACTTACAACCCACCGATGTTGAGAGATCTCATCGTGTGGGTAAACCTCGTCAGCAGCATAGTGCTAGTGTACGATCCCCTCCTAAACCTCGGCAAATAATCGTCCGTCTGAAGTCAGTCGATACGAAGTTCAAGCTTCTGAAGGCAAGGAAAGCATTCCGCGATAATGATTCCTTTTCGCACATCTCAGTGAATGAAGATCTCACCAAGATGCGGAGTGAACTCGCTTATCATTCGCGCCAACTTGTAAAATCTAAAGCTATCCTTCAAACGTGGACGACGAATGGCAAGGTGATGGTTAAAGATCTAAATGCCAAGGTCTTCGGCATTAGATCGGTAGACGATCTGGTTCAGTTTGGACACGTGATCCAGTAACCAAACATACAATAAAGTTCACTATAGATGACCTTAATTCTAGCTTACTACTTTTGACTTTGATAACCTGTCATTTGATAAATCCAAGCACATTTCATTATCAATGAATTAGTTTGTCATTCCGTGTCATTGTATTTCAAAAATATTGATCGATTATGCATGAATTATCGTAATCATGTATTAATTGTCTGTGTACTAGATATCTTGTCAGCTTAATCTAATTTCGAAATCAAATAAGATCGGTTTGTAATACACGGTTATATAACTTACATGACCTGTACATACCTGTACTTTTTCCCATCTCATGTGTCAGTATTATTTTTGTCCCGGTCAGCATTGTGTCCACACCGTCACAGTTTAACTGCTATGGACAATTACAATGTATTGAAAAGTCTGCCCTCTTTTTCTTTATCTATGACCCATAGTATCAGATTTCTCTGTTTACAAACATATGTATGTGCACTTCACTGAGTGTGTGTGTGCAGTCACGTGGTCAAGTGCATGCTACCGTGAAGCAGACATATTGGGTTATCCCATATGTAGGTTTACCAGTTACCTGTATCATGTGAGCTGGATCTTATTTACATGTTATAATTCCACTGTTTTCATCAATATAATTCTCCTAATGCCGCATAAATAATAAGTTATTACCTTCATTCAATTACTATATAACCACGCGTTGTGTTTGCACATGTAAATATGTAATTATAAAATCAAAGGCTTTCTCCCCTGTTGCCGCATAGACAATTCTTCGTATTAACCCGGCCCGTGCGCCAATGTTAGAACCTCAACTTTGACCTCATTGTGTACCTTGCTGTTATCCAAATGCACACGACGTTTATATTTCTCTCTCTACTTCTTCTGTTCCTTCATTATCCTATCCCCCGACCCGTCCCCCACCTTACTATTTATATGATACTGTCGTTGTTCAAACTATATCTGTTGTATTCTGTCCGAGCACACCATTGTTTCATGCTTTTGTACACCAGTACTGATGTGACATAATGCTGATCTCGTTACAATTACACCGTGCTCGGATAGGACTATTTAATAGAAAAGTTTTTTCAGATTTCTACGAAATTAGTTAAGGTTATAATTAATGCTAAATCTCAAGACTCTCTGGGATTTTGTGAAGTAGCTCATTGTCTTTTGCATTTTTTTCTCCTGTGTGTAATTCAGTTGTTACTTATTATATCAGGCAATATTGAGATAAATCCAGGTCCTTCGGACAACTCCGACTCTGCCTCTGAAATCTCCTCCGAATCTTCCTACCTCTCTAGTAATGCAAGCGACTATTACGACAGTACTAAGTATTCTTTTGTTCACTTGAACGTCCAAAGTCTCCGGAATAAGATGGATGTATTATTTACCGAACTGCACAACGTCTGCGTACTTTCATTTACTGAAACTTGGCTCTCCACTAATGATAACTTAACAGATTTTACTTTTCCTGGTTATTGTGAACCGTTTTGTTATATTAGATCTGATCGTGTAGGAGGGGGAGTGTCTGTGTACGTAAAAAATGACATACCTGCTAAGCGTCGCCCCGACTTAGAGCTTCCTACTGTTAAATGTGTTTGGGTAGAATTGAGTTTAGCAGGTACTACTGTACTTTATGGCACTTTCTACAGACCACCTAATTCTCCAGTCTCTACATGGGATCATATTTCACAATCGTTAGAACTTGCTTTTAATACTGGGTGTGATAATATTGTTTTAACCAGTGACTTGAATGCTGATTATTTAACTAATAACCAATCCGTTCCATATTTACACGAATTATTACACACTTTCAATTTAACCCAAATGATATCGTCTCCTACCTTTTATACTGAAAATTCTTCATCATTGCTTGATGTTATTTGTGTGAGTAATCCATATTTGATTGAGAAATGTTCTGTTGGGGAAAGTTTTCTAGACCAGCCCCTGAGGTATCACTGTCCTATTTTCTGTAGCCTAAATATAACTGTACCTAAGAAGTCGTCAATGAAACGTAATATTTGGTTATATGACCAAGGCAATTATGACATTTTTAGAGAGAAACTTTCTATTGTTGATTGGGATACTGTTTTAACATATGATGATTTAGATGCCTCTGTCGATGGCTTTGCTGATATACTCATTAACACCGCTAAGGAATGTGTTCCAAACAAAGTAGTTACTATACGTAGCAGAGAACCTCCGTGGATGACCAGTGAAATTCGTAAGTTAGCTCGGAAACGTAAAAGATTATTTAGATTAGCTAAGAGATCAGGAACCATAGAGGATTGGTGTAAGTATAAAAAAATTAGGAACAAATGTGTAAATACAATACGTAATGCAAAAACTAAATATGTCCGTAAACTATGTGGAATGCTGGGTAACAATACACGTGGGAAGTCTTGGTGGAAAACGGTAGGTAAACTTATGCTTAACACCAACAAAACCTGTAATATACCACCCATTCATACACAAACTTCTATTTTTTCTGATGACATTGATAAAGCAAATGCATTTAATGAATTCTTCTGTCTCAACTCTACCGTCGATGATACTAATGCTGAACTTCCACCTACTACTAACAACGAACCTCTTCTTAGTCATATATATATAGATAGGAATGACATTATTTCTGTTCTATTAAATCTAGATTGCTCTAAGGCAGTCGGACCTGACCAAATTAATCCTAGACTCCTTAAGGAGGCAGCAATAATCTTGAGTTACCCCCTCCAAGTAATCTTCAATAACTCTTTAACTACTTCATCTTTTCCTAATAATTGGAAATTAGCTAATGTTACGCCAGTGTTTAAAAAAGATAACCCTTCTCTTCTCAACAATTATCGTCCTATATCATTAATATCTATTGTCGGAAAGGTAATGGAAAGATGTGTATATAAATATCTGTATAAGTTTATTATTGAGAACTCTCTATTATCATCTTCCCAATCCGGATTCAGGGCTGGTGACTCTACAATTAATCAATTACTCGCCATTACTAATGATATATATTCGGCTTTAGATAAAGGTAAAGAAATTAGAATGGTCTTTTGTGATATCAGCAAAGCCTTCGACAGAGTATGGCATGCAGGGCTACTTTTTAAATTACATAAAATAGGCATTGGGGGGAGTTTGCATTTGTGGTTTAGAAGTTATTTAGATAACAGAAAGCAAAGAGTAGTTATAAATTGTAAAACCTCTGAGTGGAAAGTAATAAGGGCTGGTGTTCCCCAGGGGTCAATACTAGGCCCTCTACTGTTTCTAATTTTTATAAATGACATAGTTGACGACATTAACGCAATAATAAAACTATTTGCCGACGACACTTCACTTTATGCTATAGTAGATACTCCGCTTCAATGTGCAGACTTACTGAATGACAGTTTAAGGAAAATATATGCCTGGTCTGAAAAATGGTTGGTTACTTTTAACCCTGATAAAACTGAATCTCTTCTGATTAGTAGAAAACTCAATAAGCCCCATCACCCACCTTTACTTATGAATGACGTTCCTGTTAATGAGGTCAAACATCACAAACATATAGGACTCTTCTTCTCTCATGATGGTACTTGGTCTGAACATATTAACTTAATGATAAAGAAAGCCTCTAATAAACTCGCTGTTTTACGGAAATTTAAGTTCAAAATAGACAGAAACTCTCTACAAACTTTGTATTTTTCATTTATCAGACCTATTCTAGAATATGGCGATATGGTCTGGGATAACTTAACTATTCAACAATGTCAGTCTTTGGAGAATATTCAGCTTGAAGCTGCTAGAATTATGACGGGTGGGACTAAACTAACTAGTCATGCTAAGCTTTATGAGGAAACTGGGTGGGATAGTCTACAATATAGACGCAATGTTAAGAAAACAGTTCAAATACACAAAATGATTTTTGGTCTCTCTCCCCCATATCTCTCACAACTACTTCCTCAGCGCAGAACCGACGCTCATCAATATAATACACGTGATGCTGATAATCTGAGTAATGTATTTTGTAAAACTAATTTATTTAAGAAATCTTTTCTTCCTTCTTCTATCGACCTTTGGAACTCGCTACCACCACTAGTAAAAAATAACCCCTCTATAAGTAATCTGAAAAACTACCTACACAGACACTCCCGTACTGTCCCTCCTTATTATAATTTTGGGAATCGTCTTGACCAGGTTCATCACGCTAGGATAAGGATGTCCTGCAGTTCTTTAAATGCCCACCTGTTTAGTCGTAATCTTGTCGATAGTCCTTATTGCTCCTGTAGACAGTCACACGAAACTACTGAACATTTTCTTCTATTTTGTTCTAATTATACAGACATAAGAAATGGATGTTTTTTAAATTTGCCCGAAAATTACACACTCGACATGCTTTTGTACGGAGATCCAAATCTAACTATCAATGAAAATGAAAACGTTTTCCGTTGTATACAATATTTTATTTCTAAAACCAAACGTTTCGCAAATTAATAGTGCTACCTCATTGATCCCAGAGAGTTGTGTGAACTAACACATTTGCGTATGTTTAATTGATGTACAATATGTAATTATGTACAATAACAACTACAGTTTAGTATCATAATGGTATTAAAACACTTCATTATCCCCCTTTCTCCCCTGCCCCCTCCTCTCTCTCTTTCTTTCACTCTCCGTCTTTCTTTCCTTCATATATTTACAAAGTTTATCACTTGTCTATTTCAAACATATTTCTTACTAAGTATGTTGTAAAGTTTTTAGTGTTGTCACCTGCTTGTCATTATTTAAGGAGACAGATTCATATAAGTATGTAATACTTTTTTCTGAATCCTTATATTAATTATGCATATTATGTATACATAAAAATGAATGAAATAAAATATGGTTTAAACTAAATGTGATCTAGAGTGACTGAGCACATCTGGCTCTCTCAGCAGCAAATGGGACAATTCCATGGTCTATCATCCATAATTTATTTTGTTTTCATATGTTTAATTAAAGATATAAATATCGCAAATATAATATATTTTGAACAACATATGAGTGGTATTATTACAATCAGAAGAGTAGTCACAATATGTACATTATTTATTCTCATTACACCACACAACAATCGCAATTAAGTATTTAAGTAAGTAAATTAAGTAAGACTTGCATATCAATTGTGGACTTAGGATTGGAATACACTTTGGACGATATTTTTTAAGGAGAGGTTATTTCGTGGAATCAATCTTGAAGCACATGCATGTTAACATCTGAGGTCCAATGTTGTATACAGTACATTTCCTCCAAGCCGAGAATCGAGCATAATTTAAACATAAAATATACATATGTTGCCTTTTGTACAGTTCTAGTATTGAATGGAGAAAATTTATGTGGATGGTTCTTGTTTTTCTTCCTTGTTCGCCTTTAAAGTTTACCTCTCACTCGGTAAAGCAGTATATTGTAATCACTATGTGCGCCCATAGCACAAAGCATATGAATAAAATAATGTTTGGAATCCTTCTACATCTTTAGTTCATATTCACACAATAGATCATGTTGTAACATCGCCCAGGTTTGGTGGTTAAAGAGCAAATGGTTGTATATGACTATTGTTTATAAAGCTCGGGACAAACGCTTTCTGAATACTTTAGCAGCGTTATTGCAAGAAACATGTGGCGTTGTATCCATTTGATTCTATTAGACTCAAGGCACAATTTTGTTTCATTACAACAAATTTTGCTGACCGGAATAATAATAATAAAAATCAACCCATTCGTGTGTTGTTCCGATACCATGTGACAGTTAACTGAGTTTTATTTATTCGTAGAACATTTATTGTTATTTCGAAATCCTTTGGGATATCTGAACATCGACCTTATAATTTCTCTATATTTCAGATGTTTGTTAAAACAATCCAAGTATCAAATGTATTTTCCTCTCGATTTGCAATAAGGCAAAAAAGACGATGTAAATTTCTAGAAAACCGAATAACATGATGCTACTTTTGAATTTACGAATATTAGTAAATATTTTGCAAATAATAATGTACGTGCGGGTTTATATTATTTTATTCCACTGTGTAATATTCAATCATTGGTGTCTCCGTTAACATACTAGATGGATACCCGAAGAATGGCAGACCTGTACTAGAACTTGTGGGGGAGGTCATCAGAAGCGGAAGATCTACTGTCGACAGAGGATTTCTTCAACCAAGAACAAAAAGTTACGGCGGGCGTCCTGTTCTCACCTGCCACGCCCTCTCCGGTCACGGCGATGTAACGAACAAGAATGCCATCCAGACTGGCACGCTGGTAAATGGTCAAAGGTATATGTCCGTCCATAATTATTTTAATTATTTCTCTACGAAAAATATTCCACTCTACTTTCATAAAAAAACTCAAAATGTTGGGACATTTAGTTTTCGTCTCAGAACTTAAAGAAGTGCAAAACGTTTTTCTAAAGTCAAATAATACTTAAAAGTAATTGAATTTCGAATATTAATAACATAAAAAAGTCGAAAGTGATCATTTGTATAACACGTTGTTGATTGAATATGTGTTCGTAAAGAGTAGCGAAAAAAATGTCAATTCAGCATTCTGTTCTCTCTCAGTGTTCAGTCAGCTGTGGTATAGGTGAACGAACACGCAAGGTCACGTGTCGGCAGCGCCTGCGGAAGGGTTATAAACTTCTACAGGAAACCAATTGCCAGGCATCCAAACCGGATATCATCAAAACGTGTCGGAAAAGGGCGTGTCCTAATAGAGATAATAATGACTGGCACCTGTCACCATGGGGACCGGTAAGTGACGTTTTGTTTGTGGTGGTATCAGATTGAAGTGTGCTGCTTTTCTGCTAACGTTATCGCAGAATTTCTGTAAATATTAAGATCGACACTATAAAATGATGAAAAAAAACGAAATTAAAGTATTTTAACAGGTTTCAATGTTAAATCGAATTCCTTAAATTTATGATGTTTTAACAATCTTCTTCAGTAATATTGTATATTCATGTACATATATCATATTTGTAATGTGATATATTTGAAATATTATTTCAATTTAATAAAAAAAATGTCCAAGTGTTAATCATATGTTCCGTTAAATTATTGACTGGTTCTAAAACATATGTTTGTCTTTCTTTTTGAATCTATGACATGTGTGTTTGCCTTGTGCGATATGATGCTTACTAGTAAGCTAATCGCTTACTCATCTACCTCTGGTATCTGAGGCCTCTTTAATGCTTTTCTGCAGTGTTCTAAAACTTGTGGGAGAGGGGTTCGATCGCGTTACCTAAGATGTCGACAAAAAAACTTAACGGGTGCACGTAAATATGTACCTGTCAACAATAGTCTTTGCGAGACGGTTCCCAAACCAAGCGTCGCCATGACGGAACCCTGTCAACTGATGGTTTGTCCAATGTCGCTGGTCTGGTCCCTGCGATGGACGGTGTCAGCATGGTCCCAGGTGGGGCTGTTTCTAATTTACATTTTAGTAGACTTCGATCGCGATGATCAGGTTCTTTTAGTCTCTTGATACGAATATATATATCGATGACATTATAAGTATTTGATTTGATGTGTGTTTTCCGAGATGGGTCCTGAATATTTTCATAAGTCACTTTACCACAGTTTCACTTTATTTTATAATTCAATCACATATCTGCGTATAGAGAGTTACTGAAGGCGGGTAGGCAGATGTGTTTAAGACTCTTCTATTGAGTGTGTCTGGTCTTGCTTATGCGGCGTTCCTCTTTCCGCAAAAAAAATCTGCCTTTAAAAATATTCATCTCCAGCGTCAAACAAAGAGCTTTAAATATATCAATGACAAAATATTTCTAGAAAGTTTCTATCATCAATAACAGTGATAATCAATGTAATCATATTTCATCAAGATTTTGAGAAACACAATTAATTGTATACTAGGAGTACTGTACACTTACATTTTTAAGTCTTGACTTATCGACCTCTTAACATCAGCTTATTGTATAAATCGTCATTAAGATGAAATATACAAAAAAACATATCTGATTAAATATATAAATCTATTTTTGAAATCTATGCTATGTACAATGCATCTAGAAAATAAAATGTATCGTGTTGTTAAACATACTGTTTTAATAAAAAGCGATATTTCCTTGTATTCGTCCAGTGTTCGGTGACCTGTGGTGACGGAGAACAAAGAAGACAGGTAAAGTGTGTCAGTTACAGGGGTGAAAGAGTCAGCGGATGTGACTCGGAAACAAGGCCAGTGGCGTCAAGGAACTGTCGAAGTGCTAGCTGTGTTCAGACTGGTAGGTATAGTCTCCCTGCTAATCTTAATAACAATGTTTTGACTCATTCAGTAAACACAAAATATCGACGTTCAGTTCCTTTCTGTTATCTAGTTCACGAGTGAAAATAAGTTATGGAGTGTAATGATTGTACAGGTAAAATGTTTATTAAACCTAAATTACTATGCCAAAGGTATGATGATAAGTCATCTTTTCACTATTTGATACCAGAATCGACTTCCTTTCAAACCACAAACCTGATTCCGTACATATTCTTAAGCATTAAGGGGGTAAATAATGAGTAGTATGTTTTCATTACAGTTGAATCTATTTTCCATTTCAGGATCAGGATGTAATGATAAATATTCTTGGTGTCATCTTGTCCCTGAACATAACGTCTGTGATCATGACTTCTACGGACTTAACTGCTGCGCCACCTGTAAAAGTCGTAGATAGTAAAATGTGGCCTTATTGTTTCCTCAATTTTGCATACGTTTTTGAAGGACTTGCATTAGTCTCATTGACGAAACAACCAACAAGGATCTTCTGCTACAATTGACCTTAACATGGACGGCGATTATCTTACCCCAGACAAGTTTATCTACGCTTTTTACCGGTTCGAGATTTCTTTGTCTCACCCAAGGGTTGATATGACGTCACAGTAACAATTAAATCACGTCAACGATGCGAAGCATTGGACAACAAAAACACAAACGAGTACCTAATAAAGCCACCAGGGTAAAATGAATGAAATATTCATTCACCCCTTGATAGGGCGACTTTAACCCTCATGAAATAAACTTTAAGTTGCAAAACACTTAGCAAGCCTTGTTTTTGCTAACTTTTTCATCGTTCACCTCGGGTTAAGATCCACCTACTGCACTTCCAACGGGGTGAAATTTTTATCAATCTCTATCTGAAGAGATAGTGGTGATGACGTTAAGTCATGATAGACCAAGACTTATGAGGCTCTCGGTATTTGACTAGAATGATCTCTTAACACATATTCATCTAATACGTTGATGTTAGCATTATATGTTTTTATATAAGTATGAATGCAAGGGTGTGAATGAAAATGATAAATGTGAAATGGGGTTATTTCTCAATGTATAAATGCGGCCCTTCTTTACTCTTCAACCTCAACAGATTTGTAATTCAAGTCTTTAACTTTTTTGTTTCCCTCTATAAGTACATCTTTTGGTATTTTTTTGCTTAGCGTCAAATGGTAAAGTATTTCGGGTGTAAAATAGAAATAATATCTAATGCAGATATATGATAATCTGGTAATCATTACATCATATAACAGCTTACATTTCTTTAGTCCACAGACATGTATAGGATATGATTAGTTAAACGTATTTAGCAGAGTTTCAAATGAATGGATGACATGAAATTGCACCATTTATTTTGGTGCATGCGCTACATGTTAAGCTACTGGGAAGTTTATGCAATAAAAACTATGCAATATTATTGTGCAACGTTTCGCTGATGATATGGTGTCAATAATGCGACTGTGATGTAAAACGATTTTGTGTACAAAATCATGAAACGTTAAATATAGGTTCCAATGTTTATGTATCTGATGTCTAAATAATTGTACATATTGTAATTATACGGTAATTGTACATAGCTTTGGGCTCGAGACAGTTTTTTGTTACCTAAATGAATGTTTGTAATTTTAAATGTCAGAAACATACCTTTGAATTCTTGATTCTATTCTAAAGTATTGCATGAAGTCCATGTAAACAATATCTAAATGATACATTTTTAATCATAATAGGCTGTGACATATCGCTTTGTGTTTCATCTTTTTTTTTTAGTGCAGTTTGATACTTTTCGTTAAATTGATCGGAAGAATTCTAATAGCGTGGCTGGTTTAACTCTACCTTAAAAGCCTTGTCGACAGTCTCATATTTAATAGTTCCAATATGACAATGGATCTAAATTAGGTAAATACGACATGTTATTAAAGTCTTCTTTTACGGAAACAACGTTTTGTATAAGTTTTATTAAAATTTCAGTTTCTATATTAGGCACTTTTTATGAGTCTACTTAGATAATTAATCGCAAATGTTTATTCGAAAGCGAAGTGGATCTTCAAGTTATTTAACTATCGTAGTAATTTTGATTGGTCAAAACATTAGGCGAATAGAAGTAAGCCTTGTAAGTATTCAATCTGGTATATTGCCTAACGTCCAATCAACAGCTAGAAATTTGAGGCACTGATAATCTTCATTTTCTTGTAACCTAAACAATGATGTATTATCTAAACAAAAATGTCAATGTTTATACACAAGATACAGCAGGAATATTTTTATTAAACCATCAGACTCATTTATCAATATGAAGATTGCCTGAAGTGTGTGATTTTCGTATATTGCCTAAAAGTAAAACTCGATATACAAAATATGTATTAATAATCAGCAAATACTTTGGTTGTTGAATCTTTCCCCCGCAACAATTGATTGACGAGATAAAGAGGACAGTATGTAGTAAGTTGATCATACATTATGTATTCTGCGGATTCTGTCTCAGGTCTAGGTATTGTAAATGATGTTTTAAGAGATTTCTCAATTTTATAAAGAGTAACAATATTTATGATTTGTCATAGACAAGAGCTCTGGTTATCTCTCTCATTTTTAGAGTGAATTACTCTGTCAGTTTGTGTTTCCTTTTTACATAGTAGGAAAATGTTACGGAGAGTAATAATTAAGATTTCCATGATAACATCTTTCAGGTTTTCAGACACTTTTCAGTTCATTGCTTTGGGAGTACAATTTATTTACCTTATTCTTTAACTATTGTGCTTCTACTTACACCTATGATGTATATAAGTATATTTCACATAACATTATTCCAATGCTAAAATTTTTTTATGCGTCCGTCAGTGTGTTCATTGTTGTATTAATGATTGAGAAACATTCGAATCCACGATCATCTTTTTCATACTTTAACGCTTAAATGTAATAAAAGAAATGTGTGTTTTTATTGTTATCGAATGAAAATGTGTTTATCACTAATTATTTGAGCTATGTATATATATCAAGCTTTAAAGTAAAAAGAACATGAGTAAACGTCTTATAATGCTTTCAGTTTGCAGCTTGGTCGCTTTTGTTCCTCCAAACGTTTAAATAGTATTTGAAATCCGACAAGTTATTGTTGCTTATTTACGTAGGCCCAAAGCCATCAAAGGTGCAAACGTCGTCAGTTCATCTATAACACAGAGTTTCGTTCTTGCTTATAATTATTAAAATTATGGAATAAGTGTCTGATTTTTAAAAAAAATTTTAATTTACTCGAGTTATTTCATTTCTATTTCAAAAAGATAATATAAAAGCCCAGAATGAAAAAAATAAGATTTAATTAACGAGAGTCGAATAAATATAGTAAACACGTATTTTCTAGAGGACTTATTTACACTGTAAACTATTTTAAAGTTTTTTTCCTAGGTTTTGTCTAGATTTGAAAACAGTTTTCGACATACCATTCTTGCCTCATGTAATTTCTCTTATCAAATGTCATCGCTAGCACGTGTTTTGTAAGGACTGGTCAATTCAATTCGCATTCGTTATCAGGCTTTTGGAAATATTGGTATACCCTATCGGCGACATGTTAGCGGAAAACCAATCTATAACTAGTTACTGCATCACTGCACAAAAAATGTAAGATTTTTTTTACACGTTATTATTATTATTATAAAATTGCCACAACCAATTTTGTTAGTCATTTGCAAATATTATACAGAATTTATTACAATTGTACATTTGACATATATATTCACATTGCACCGCACTATTTCGCTTAATGTGACATTTTAAACATGGAATAAGGCTGTGTTATGGGACCGTTGATCACATGAATAGTCCCTTAAATTACATCATATGGTTGTAAATATTAAGTGTTTTCTCAAGACCTCGTCATAGAATCAAAATCTATAAAAGTTGATATTTTGATGTCTTTTTTTTGTGCCAGTGTACTTTTTATTTTGAGAATTTTTTTTTTATAAATAACTCGGTCACTTACAACATGTCTGTTATTTTTGTGTGAAGATATTTATTATTCCAGAATTGATTTTTCTTTTTATGATGTTTCTATACATGTCACGCTTTTTAATACTTGTGTATAAGATGCTGTAGTGAAAACATGTACAGATTACTTTTGAAACAAACATGCCACAATTTTACATGTATATATTATATCCAAATAAAGAGAAAATTTCTGTATGTGTGTTACATACATCCATCAATCAAGATAAAGAATCTGAAGAAACGCAGCATTTCAGTGTACTTGAGACAATGTTATTTGCATCTCTGTTACATGTTTATCTGGTTTCATGAAATCAGTATATTTAGTCAATATTTCATTTTTCATAACTTTATTATTATTATTACATTCTTTACGGCCGTCAACATTTAAAAGGTCATTAGGGCCATCAACCAGTAAAACACACAATAACTGTGGAAGAAACATGTTTATGGTTGTATTTAATAATCGGCCTATCATGTACCTACTTTGCATTTGAATATACTATCAGTTTATTGTTGATGAAATTGAAGGTAGGTATAGTTACTCATTATTAACTTAATAATACTTTTAATTGGTTGAACATTTCAGATCTATGGATGTAGGAGGATATTTTGAATAGTTCGCCTTTTTTTTTATTTAGGTTTGTTTCATGTTCATTGTGTCCATATTTCAATTCGATGTTTGAAAATTTTCATCATTGTGATGAAAAATATTTTTGTCTCAATAAATTGCATGTTGGTACTTAATCTCGATAATTATCAGTGTGTGTTGCACTTATGCTCGACGATTCTGATTTAAATTTTCACTGAAAAAGAGCGCTGATTTTTGTAAATAAACTTTTTTTTAAAAAAGGAAAAGAAGAGGAGAAAAAAGAACTCGCTGACAAGACAGCTTATTGCGAATTCCATTCATTTGTAGCTCAAGAAGGTACAAATTGTTCCATAAACTGAGAACTTGGAACGAAACTAATTGGTTATTTTATCCGAAAATCATCAAAGTATAAATCAGTATATGTATACCGTTTTTGGTTGAAGACATTATGTGTAAATGCGTTATAGAAATACGATATTGATAATAATATAGATGTCTATGCTATTCCGTCAGATGTTCGTGAAAACAGAGTCAAATAAAATGATATATCAGATCTTAGATTATTATACTGTTTTGTCTATGTATATGGTACTAGAAGCTGCTATGCTGCAGTTGTGTATAGGTATGTATTTCTAATTGTAAAAATGGTTGTGAGATCTCGTGTGATTTTACTCTACATTTGTATTTCATTTTGTACAAAACGTTTGTTTTATGTAAATAAAGTCACAGATATAGATGCCTAGTCTATCTGTTTTAGTTATATATCAATAAATATACAATAGATGTAGAAGCATTTTATTGATAAAATGATCAATATGAAAACAACAAGAAAAACTAACATGTCATCATATTCATAATCCAATCTTAAATTCAATGAAACAAAATATGAAC